CTTAATTTTTATTGAAACTGAAAGTAAATGGTTAAAAAGTAATGGTTAAAAGTAAGTGGTTAAACCACAATTGATTTTTAGGTTGCTAAGCTGTAGGACATCAGGAGTCAGTGTTTACCTAATTTAACTAAAAGTTCAAGGTCAGAGAGGCATTCTGAATTAGCCCAGGAATAAAGTGTTCTCTGGAAAATCCAAGTAAAGCCCATTATTTTCTGAAGACTGACATTTTAGCAATATGGCATGTAGTATGTGTTGTGTTACAAATTACAGTTATTGTTTTGAAAATTACAGACCAGTTTCAACGTCTCTTTTTTAGGCCACTTAATTATGGGCCAGAAAGAAGGCTGGTCATTCTAGGGTACTTGAAATGAACTCTAATGATTTCCAGGGCCAGAGAAACCCTTCAGCTGCAGCTGCTTATCAGCGAAGGGGATGGAAGAAGGGGTCTTTATATTTTGTGTATGACACCAAATTGTCCACCATCTGTAGTAAGGTTCCCATCATCTGGCTGCCTTCAGAATCTTAAAAGCCTCAAAGCTAATAACAGTTGGTATTAGGGTGAGAGGGAAAAGAGAGGGTTACAAATGACAATTTATGCGATATAATTGACCTTAGTTATTTTTATATAAATCCAGTTGGAATCATTACAGAGAGCCTCATTTTTTAAAAGGATAATTAATGACAACATTCATTTGTCATGGTTGGTGCTAGTTTATTCTACTTCAGACACATTAATTATTGCAGGGTCTGTCATCTTTACAAAAATGGTTCTGCTTCTGAAAAATTTAGTATTAAATTTAATGAAGATGGTAAGCCTGCATGTTAGCTGCCGTTCATTGAGGGCCTACTCTTGTACCAAGCACTTCATAAATGTTATTGCCAGTTCTACAACAACCCTGAAAAAGATCGTTGCCAAGGTTACAAATGAGCGAACTGAGGTTTAGAGAGGTTAAGTAACTTAATTTGGGTCACAGTTAGTAAGTAGCGGAATCACGATGTGATCCTGGGCCTACTCTGCCGGTACTCTTCCCTCTGCTCTACACTGCCTGTCACGGCACATGCCTTTCAGCTGACGTCCTTCCACCTCCTAAATACAACGTACATATTTATGGTTAGAAAAAAATTGTGTTTGTATACACACATATGGATATACAAACATAGAGGTATGTGTGTATACATATGTATGTGTTAAAACATTTTCTTTTTTTAGTAAAACATTTAAAAAATGTATCAGGCAATAATAACTTGATCAACAATATGACTTGGCATTAGGCATAGCAGTACTGAATCATTACTTTTGCTAGGAGACCACAGTTAGGTTGATTTGTTCTTTTATATGGCTTATACTTTTACCTGATTCTATTTCGTATTATTCTCACTCAGATTCCTTAACATCTTGATGCTTCATACAAATTACTAATTTAATAATTTGTATTAAACATATTTCTAGAAACCAAAGCTCTTCAGCACACAGTGCTCTAAAAAGATATTTTTATTCATCCTTAGTGAGAGAGTTGACTGATATTAGCTTGTAGAAAGCATTGACTTCTATGCTGAACAAAAAAGAAAAAAAATAAACTTGAAGGATTAAGAGAAATATGGAGGGGCTGGCCCAGTGGCATAGTGGTTAAGTTTGCGCACTCTGCTTCGGCAGCCTGAGGCTTGTGGCTTCAGATCCCAGGCACAGACTTATGCACTGTTCATCAAGCCATGCTGTGGTGGTGTCCTACATACAGAATAGAGGAAGATTGGCACAAGTGTTAGCTCAGGGACAGTATTCCTCAAGCAAAAAGAGGAAGATTGACAACAGATGTTAGCTCAGGCCCAGTCATCCTCACTGCAAAAAGAAAGGAGAGAGAAGAATGTCAGTGAAGGGACATGAAAAGAGAAACAGGTCTATGGAGGTAGAGAAAAACTACTCTTTAACTAGCCACCCGTCCCAGTTTCACTAGTCTGTTCTATCCAAAATCAGAAAATGGAAGTGCAGCTTAAGTTTATGCATTTGAAGTTATTAGCCATGTGAATCCCCTCCCCTCCCCCTCTCCCCTCACCCCCAACAACACACACACACATACACATCGATAGTATTAAGTAATTGGGATGTCAGAATGCAAGTATGTCCACAGGCAATATTCTGCCTGCATTTTGTTGAATATTGTAGAAGTTGCTTTGATGTTCCTCTTTTCGTGTTTATACCTCTTCATTAGATAAGTGTACTCGTTATGTGATTGAAAAACTTAAGAACCTTCACCTACTTTCCACCGTGTAGCCATTGTGAGCCAAATATTTTTAATATGTTTAGAATCTTAACTATGTGTGCAGGATTTTACAAATAATATAAGAATTTTGGTTGGAAATCTGGGATATACAAACATGCTTTTAATTCTAAAAGGAGTAAAAGAAAATGCAGCTGCTGATTAAAATTTAAATCAGTTACAGCTCCCAATTTTTGAAGAAAAACAGCATTGTTATATAAAACTTCTACCCTATAGTAACTGTGAAAAGCATAGAACAAAATTGATCCTTTAACGTGATGTGTAATTAGATATTTTCTATCTTGTTTTAGATCTGGTACTAATTTGGGAATAGTATTATTTTCCTCTCCATTCAACAAATGTTTATTTCGTATCTATTTTGTGTAAGATCCTAACATGGGGGCTTCTGGTTTGGGCTCAGATCACAACTCTTGATTTATAGTTTGAAGTCATTCACAATTAACAGTCTAGTTGTCATAAAAAGTTGTTTCTATTCCCATTCAGTGATGAAGAACGCTACAGATATAGGGAGTATGCAGAAAGAGGCTATGAGCGTCACAGAGCAAGTCGAGAGAAAGAAGAACGACACAGAGAAAGACGACACAGAGAGAAAGAGGAGACGAGACACAAGTCATCTCGAAGGTTTGCTCTTTAATACTTTGAAGCTAAGAGAGAAATGACTTGACATCAGGAAGTAAAAGCAAACATTTCCAAATAACCAGTAGAGCATGTGTGTTCCTAATCAGAAGATTAAGGATAATCTGTTGAAATGGTTCCTTATATGCCTCAACAAAGATTTTTAAATCTAACAAAACTACATTTAATACTCATAAACCAAAATTAAAACATGGAATAAAAAGTAATATGAGAGAATTAGACTTATTATCTTGTTGAGAGACGGGGTATTTGGCATATGAACCAGTCTTTAATAGTAAATATTATTAAACAAAGCAGTGTTCAGTGTAATCAAAGAAAATTCAGGGCCTTGTAGTCTTAAAAAAAAAAAAAAAAAGTATTAAATTTTAATGCCTAATGTTTGCCTAAAATCAACCCTAGAGAGGATTTTCTGTTTTGATTTAGTGCTTCAGTTTATAATTTGTAATTAGTCTTTCACAATAAAGTTTATGGGCCCTGGGAATCTAGGGTAATATCAGTGAATGTGAGCCTATAATGTAAGTACAGTCTTGGTATAAAAGTCACATTGAAAAACTGATTACTCTCCAAAATGTGTTTGAGAAGAAGTATGGATTATTTAAAACCCAGTGTTCTAGTGAGAATTTACTTAGAGTGAGTTGTTTTTTGTCACTACCTGTGAACTTAAGAATACACTTTGCTCTTTCTTCAGTAATAGTAGGCGTCGCCATGAAAGTGAAGAGGGAGACAGTCACAGGAGACACAAGCACAAAAAATCTAAAAGAAGCAAAGAAGGAAAAGAAGCTGGCAGTGAGCCTGCCCCTGAACAGGAGAGCACCGAAGCTACACCTGCAGAATAGGCATGGTTATGGCCTTTTGTGTATATTAGTGCCAGAAATAGATACTATAAATCTTGTTATTTTTCTGGATAATGTTTAAGAAATTTACCTTTAATCTTGTTCTGTTAGTATGAAAAGTTAACTTTTTTTTCAAAATAAAAGTGAATTTTTCATGTTAAGTTAAAAATCTGTTTTTGTAATATTTAAAAAAATAAAAGACGGCAATGACTTTATATCTGAGAAAGTAATGTGAATGAATCACTCAGCAGGGAATTTAAAGAGCTTTGTTTAGCTATGTACATACATGGTATCTGATAAAGGTCAAGGTTCCACCTTGGCCATAGTTTTCTTGAGTTAATCAAGTACTAGTCTCTTAAGAGGTTGCACTGTGAAAGGCACCTCTGAGTCTTGAGATTAAAACTAGTTTTTTATTACTGCTGTGGCACTGTTGCTTAGCATATTAAAAAACTTGTATACAGTTTTTGATATCACAACTTTGATAGGTTTTCGGTGTTCTAAATTTGGGTTCATCGTGAAACTAAATGGGGAACTTTTATATCCAAATTACTAAAATCTAAAGGCATTTGGGTGGCCTCTGTGAAATAACTTTCCCTAAGTGTAGTTTCCAGCAGGCACACAAACACTTGTCACTGTGACAGATTTGAATTGCCTCATGGCCATCTGTGAGCCAGGGTCAAGCTGGTTTGGCCTTTCTTGATACTTTTTCCAAGGCTTATTGGTTGAGCAGCAGGTGAAGTTTTTATACAGTTACTGGCTGTATTGTGAATAAAAATAAATGACAAAAGCTTTAGAATAGTCATTTCCTATTAAATCCAAGAAAATACAAGTTTAAAATTCTCTGAGCGTTTTTAGGGATAACCCTTAAGAGGTATTTGTCAGCAATGGTAACAATGTGGTTTTGAAAGAATGGATTGCTAGGATCTTTTAAATAGTGATAATAGAAATGAACTTAGTATCACATACTAAAAGACGACTATAATTTTTCAAAAATATTTATTTCTCATTTGATGAAACAAACATTTTCCAGCAATGTACATTTAAAATCCTCTGGTTGTATAGTGTACCCTTTGCAGACCTCAGCATATACCAAATTTTTAATTTAATTGTAGGATTTAAAGCCAGTGGGGGGCATACAAACCATTTCAGCAATTTAAGAGCTTTTTACTGAATAAAAAAATATAAAGTTAAAGTTGTGGAGTAATGAGAAATCCTCCACACTAAATAAACACTATTAGTAATGTTTGTTTTGAGAGTTATATTTTCTGAGGTGTCATTGGCTTTCTTTAGATCATACTTTTCCTGACAATTAAAGTTTACATTTTTTACAGTGTATCCTTTAAATACAAAAATTGACAAGATAAATACGTTGTTTCAACTTAGCTTATTTGTGATTTCTCATTTTTCTATGACCCATCATTGATTCTACAAAAAAGTGCCAGGCCAAGAAACAATTGTGAGAGTAATTTTTCCTTTAAGTTCTTTCAGCATCTTTGCCAAGCAAGCATGTATCATGCCTGATGTACTTCTGCCATTGACAGCGAGAAGAATATCACCACATCTGAAAAAAATAAAACAAGGTATATTAACATTTTGATCCATAGCTAAAGTTAATGTAAGTTTATATGGTGGTCCTAATTTTTGCCACATCTGTCAATTTTAATTATATTACTTCTAATTAAGGTATTTTTTCCCCCTACTCAAATTCTGCAAACTCTTTCCATTCAACTTGTGTTAGAAGGGATGCTAAATGTATAGGAAGTTGCTGTATAGGACCTAGAGTAACTAATTCATTTTGGATTTCTTAGAAATTGGATGCTACATGACTGTTTTTAATTTCTTACCAATAAAAAAAGTATAATAAATACATGCCTTATTTCAGATGGGGCCAAGCTTTTGCATGTATAAAACAAAATATTTGAATATAAGTTTTGTTAGTAGTCATTATTATTACCTAATTCTTCCATCATTGTATGCTGGTGTTCCTTCAACAACGGATTTGATAAAGAAAGGTTTGTTCCCATTATATTCTTCGTAACCTCCTACAATGCAGAAGCCCAGACTTCCAGCTGTATTTCTTCGTAATATAACATCTTTACAGTTATACAGGTACCTGAAATAGAGTGTAATGAAGGTATATGCACTAAGTTTAACTCTTAGTGAATAATTACTGTGATTCATCTCCCATTTCCTTTATTGGCTTTATTTTTTTTAGGCCAAATAGCACTGGATGGGTCTCACTCAAAGTTGTGTCATAGCCCGGTCACCTTTGTGCTCTTTGCTGGCCTTTTCTAATTTAACTTCTGTTTTCCATCTCTCAACACCGTCAAAAAAATAACACCATCTATTATGTTCTGTTTATGTCTGCTGGGAAGATAATCATTTTTGGCTTAAAGATGATGTAATGCCTCAGTTGATATTAAAAGGTTGGATATGCCTAAATTGTTATTAATGAACCACAGTGAAGCATACTTATGGATGTCACATTTTTATTTACTTAGATATAATTTTTAATAACAAAAACCCTTTGAATAAATGATTAATCTTAGAGAAAAAAATTTAAAGCTAACCCTAATTGACGCATTTGCTAAGTTTTGACTTTTGAAAAATATCAGGTTATAGAGAAATATGCAGGCATAAAGTGAATGGAGATTGAGGTGCATTTAAAGATTATAAGAATGATTCATATTGGAGGAGGAAAAACTGGCAGTAAACTGAATAGCAAGTGACAGAAGGAATGGGAGAAGGAGAGACTACAGGTCATCTGTAAATGAGTAGAATCCTCAGCTAAAATAGAAAGTTAGGGGCCAGCCCCAGTGGCCTAGTGGTTAAATTCAGCACACTCCACTTTGGCAGCATGGGTTCAGTTCCCAGGCACGGATCTACACCACTTGTCAGGGGCCATGCTGTGGCAGCAGCTCACATATGAAAAGAGGAAGATTGGTAGCAGATGTTAGCTCAGGGCAAGTTTGCCTCAGCAAAAGAAAAAAAAAAAGATTCTGAAGAAACTATTTCTTTTATTAGTCAGTGGCAGTTGCATCGTAGGTACAGGCTAAGTGCAAACTGTGTGATGGTTATGACAGAGGTTGTGTGTCAGCTAGATTTGACCCTAAAATCCCCCAGTCCAGGAAGTGGTTTGAAAGAAAATTAGCATTTTCCTATTGGTAGAAAAGTCAAGCAATGGGGGCTGACCCAGTGGTGCAGTGGTTAAGTTCACACCTGCTTCGGCAGCCCGGGGTTCACCAGTTCAGATCCCGGATGTTGATATGGCACCACTTGGCAAGCCATGCTGTGGCAGGTGTCCCATATATAAAGTAGAGGAAGATGGGCACTGATGTTAGCTCAGGGCTAATCTTCCGCAAAAAAAAAAAATCAAGCTATGACTGTTTTGTTTATAAACTGTACCTTCAAATATTAACTACTTTTTGAAAAACCAATTAGAAGTCTTGTGAAATGTTCTAAGTGTTGAGGGTGGTCTTTATGTTTGTTACCGACCTTGCTGATCAATGTAACATGATTTTTTCATGACATTGCTGACTCCCACTTGAAATAAAATAAGCTTTGGGTTTGTTTGGTGGATACCTTTAAAATGTAGTGCTAAAATTCAACTCTACTCAATTTTGTTTTGTATCCGTTGTCATACATAAACATCATTTACAATAATCAATTTCTTTCACTGACATAGCTGAAATATGAATTTAATTAAATGAAACAGCATAACTAGGTTTTTATTGTAAAATATTCATCTGCTGTATTTCACAGTAAGGCGGTGTCAGTAGTAAATTCATCCTTTTGGAGCTGTGATGTGTTAGACCCCACATTTACATAATGGTTCACTGACTGCTCATGTACAAAGCAAGTAATTAGCTGTTCCCCAAACACCAGAGCATTATATTCTCACTTGTGCCCAATATTTGAGGGAAAGCAGGTGAACAAATGGGTGACTATTACCCAAGGTCATGATCAAATATCTGTTTTCATGTTCTCTAGTCATGATTCATTAAAACATCTAAATGGGTACATAGAGCAAATACTTGAAACTAAGTATTTCTTCTTTTGACCATTGAGTTTTTTCATTAAGTATTACCTTGGACCTTACATTGACTCTTAACTAATTTTACTTCATGAGGAGAAGCTGTAAACATAACTATCTAAAACTTAGATATTCCAATATAAAATTTGCAACATGACATTAAGTTACAAGTATGTCTGTGTTCCTAGACTCTTGTTTTGATAGTGGTGAGAAAATCTGCTTGGGTCATCTTTCAGCAGATGTTTACTGATGTTCGTGTTACTGTTGTAGGCACGTGGGCTTTGTCAGTGAACGAGACAGAACCCCTGCCCTCCGTAGCATACGTTCAAGTGGATATCAGTGTTACTAATTTTATTTCATTAAGTGCTTTGCTTCAGTTGAGTATCTTAACGTCATTGTAGCAGCAAGAACTCATTATCGTAAACGCTTTCAAAATCAGACCTTGGTTAGTTGGGACTGATGAGTATTGGGGCATTTTTTTCTTAAGTTGAGTTACTTTACTTGCCATTGGGAAATGTGGCAGCTGTCTTTGCTCAGTGATATTGAGGATTTACCTTTGAGCTATTAAGTGACTAAACTCTAAATTTAAATGTGGTTTTTTTTTTTTTTTTTTTTACCTATTCTGAATTCTCTAAATTTAAGCCTAATTGAAGATTTGGCATAGTATAAAGAATAGCAAGGAGTTTGGTAATTCTTCCCAATGAGAAAATTATGTTAACTCAAAAATAATTTAAACTCCATTGAAAGGAGTTAATGAGTTAAGATGAACTCTTGGGTTGCCCAAGAAGCCATATGTTTTTCTGTTCTTTCACTGGCTGTTCCTTCTCAGTCTCCTTCATGTGCTCCCTTTTTCTCAGCCCCCTTCTCAGTGGACCTCAATATTTCACTGAGCTCCTACACTATCAAAGTGTGGTTGTCAAAGTATGTGCCTTTCAGGGAGTCTGGAAGTCAAAAAAGCATTCTTATCATAATAGTAAGGTGTTATTTGCCTTTTTCACTCATTTTCTTACAAGCATTCAGTGGCATTTTCCAGAGGATCCATGATCGGTTATCTGACAACAGACTGAATGCAGAAGTAGATTTGGGAGTCCACTTCTTCTATTAAGCCAAACATTAATGAGGTTTGCAAAAAATTTACAACAATGCCATTCCGCTCACTAGTTTTTTAAAATACTGTTTTTCTCATAAAAGATGTTACTTATGTTAACATATAATGGGTTTGTTATTCTAAATTAGTAAATTTAAAAATTCAGATTTATAATAAATATCATTAAACATAAGCTCTTTGGGATCATCAACACTCTGTAAATGTGTATAGTGGTCTTGAGGGCAACTTTGAGAATTTCTGCTCTAGTCATGTTTATCCAATTTGGATGCCCCATTGGTATCTCAAATTCAGCATGTCCAAAACAACTGATAGCTCCTCATTCTTCCTTACTACGGCAAAATAATTGCATTCATGGCCCGTAGTCGTCACCCTTCCGTGGTATCCATGCACTTTATTGCATACCTTTGTGGTGCCCTCCTACTCTGATTCTAGACTCAGCCATAAGATCATCAGTGGGATGTTTGCCACAGCCAGCCAAATGCTAGACGTGTGAGCATGGCCAGCCAAGATCAACAGAGCCACCCAAAGGACCCAGAGAGGACTGTAAATGCATGCGTGAGCCAGTCAAGATCAAGCCTAGCCCAGATCAGCTGAACCTCACAGACTTATGAGCTAAAGTTATTGCTGCCTGCTACTGAGGTTTTGCACCTGGTGGTTATGCAGCATGATTGTGAAAATAAATAATTGATATTCCTACTCTATTTTGGTTGTATCCTCCAGCCAGATGATGAAATGTACCATCATTCACTCCAGTGTCTTTTCTAGTTTCCCAAAGCACCCTGTGCCTATATAAATTTCATAATGTTTAAAGTATAACTAACTTCTGTAATTCATAATTTTTAATAAGTTACTGTTATGAAGGCCATGAGGGTTATCCCTATACATACTACATTCATTATTTCATTCAGTGCCTGCTAAGCAGAGCCAGTTAAAGACCTTCACAGACACTAGCTGTTTTCTTTTGGAGGCTCCACCCATTATTATAGCAAGCATACTAAAATGCATTTATATCCCACTTTAAATATAGGTGACTTTGGGGTACGTGTGAAAGACACTTTTTAAAAATAATTTTGCTCTTGAAATGACTTGGCCATGAGTAACTCATTTGCTTTTCCATTGACTGTGGCTTATCAGCAATCATCATACAGTGAAAGTGATGAGGGGAAGTGGCAAGAAATTTGAGGCCTAAGACGAAAGCAATGAAGAAAGCTATACACACCATGCTGGTGGCTACATGTAACAGCTGCTAAATGACAGAAATCTGAGCCAAATGCCTCCTGCAGAACTTGCTTTATGGTAGAGAGAAAAAATAACTCAAATTATAAAAGCTAAATATAGGCTTCACGTCCTCTTAAGGATGCTCACCAAACTTACTGCATAGTGGTTAAGATCATGGACTCCAAAACCCAGCAGCCTGGTTCAAATTTCAGCTCTGCTTATTAACTGGCCACGTAACCTTGGGCAAGTTACTTAATCACTCTGTGCTTCAGTTTCCTATCTTTAAAAAGTGGGGAAAATATTAGTACTTAGATCATAGAATTGAAGTGAGTTTTAAATGACTGGAAAATGCAAAGAATGTGTAAAGCTCTTGGCAGAGTGCCCAGCACAGAGGGTTACATAAGTATTAGCTACTGTTGTGGTTATTATTACAGTCATGCACCGCATGACGATGTTTCAGTCAACAGACCACATATATGACGGTGGTCCTGTAAGATTAGTACCGTAGAGCCTGGGTGTGTAGTAGGCTATACCATCTAGCGTTGTGGAAGTACACTCTATGATGTTTGCCAAATGACCATACCGCCTAACAACATGTTTCTCAGAACGTATCCTCATTGTTAAGCGATACACAACTGTACTCCAGGCTTGGATGTACCTGATGGTGTCCTTGTCTTATAGTTAAAACGTGAATGTGTTTTGACTTAAAAAAAAAGTCTCATGATATCTGCTTCCCTGCTCCTTGACAGTCCTGATCAGAATACCTTAAGAGTTTCAGGAAAGTGAAAAGTTAAGTACTTAGGCAAGAGGAGAAATGAGTTAATGTGTATTAGTATACTAGTCCATATGAGAGAGCATGTTTTGAAAGACTTCCAGATGTGGAGGGTGGGCCCTGAGAGCCAACAGAGAATAAAGCAGAGGGTCGTCAGTGTTTTTTAAATCCCCTCCAGTTGGATGGCATCTGATAATCTGTGTAGCTTAGAGACAAGGCACCATTGATAAGGGTGAGATGTACTTGCATTGTCCTTTATAACCCATTTCTACTCTGTCTGCCACTGCTTTTATCTGACACCCACTGGTTCAGCATACTAATGCTACCCTCTTCATGTGTGTTCATTCTGTGTTGGACTGCATCTGAGGACTTGATTACAATGTCCTAGAAAAGATTTCCTGTTTCTAGATCTGCTGATGTATCATTTTTCTTCACTGGTAGAGAATCGTAGATAACCAGCTGGATCATAGTTTAGGCCAAATACTTTTCCTCGAAATCTGTTAAGCAAAAACGGAAAATGTTTGCCTGAGTAAATGTATAATTTAGAGGGAAATGTCTTCTTTATGTGAATTTTTAAAAAAATCTACTCGTAGCCTTAATCTCTAGCAGTTCAGGCAAATAACTTTTGCTGAGATATGATGAATGGCCTGAAATTCTTAGGATATCACACATGCCAAATGAGTAGAGACATTTAAACCAATGGTTTTGCATCAACCAGGGAGAAACTGGTCTTTTGGGGCTCTGTGCAGTCAAGATCAGAGACGTGACTGGATCCCCCCCCTCAAGAAAACAGAAGCAGTGTTATGACTGAGGACCCACATCCTGAGACTATCTGGGGGCCTAATATAGACCATGACTGAGTCATTAAGGACTTCTTAAAAATGCCAGGGTGGACATACTTTTAGTTCCAAGATGTTAGAGTGAAGACTGTATCCCTTCTTCTGCTTTTAAAAATTACTATAAAAGCAACTAGGATACTTGGAAACAAATGCCAACTCCATCTTAAACAAAGCTGAGCCACTATATATGAGGAGAACTTCCAAAGGCGGTGAAAGTCAAGAGGGAAGACGGAAGAGAGGATGCCCACAGCTGGAGAGTGCACGCCAAGCTGGTAGAGCCCTGGGGTCCACAGTGAGTGACCCACTCAGATGGACAAAATGCCCATTCCACAAAGGAACACCATAAATAGGCGAGTGGCTGCTAGCAGAGCTTCCCTGGGCCCAGTTTGTCAGAGAAGAAGGGCATGAGTGTGAACCCAAACAGATAATCTGTTTGTACGAGAAGCAGCCTGTAAGTGTGGTAGGGCTGGGGAGAGGGACATGCACTGGGAGTGGCCCTGCAAGACTGATCTTGGTTTGGGAAAAGTAAACACACAACCCTGTGTCATAAAGAGAAGTTTCTGCCACCTGGAAAATGGCTCTGGTTCCTTCCCCTAATTAAGGACCTCCAGCAAATAGCTGCTCCAGGAAAAATTTACCTACCTTAAAGACTAAAAGAACCAGCAGAGACACACTACAAAAGAAAAGGGGGGAAGTAACAGTAAAAACAGTAGCAGACAAAAACCACTCACCAGAAATATTCTGCTACAGAAATATGTCTGCTATAGAAAATGAAATTTATAACCAACTATGCTACTGTGAATTTAAAATATTTCTCAAACAATTACTCTGTAAACAAGAGGTCAATACAGAGATACAAGATTTCAATGAAGATACGAGACAAGAGGAGAAGAACTAACAGAACAGAAGAAAAGTGGAAGAGAAAAATGGAAACACCACAAAAACAAAAATGGCTACAAAGGAAAAATACTACAGAGAGACAGTAAGGAATTTGAAGGACAGATCAAAATAAACAGAATGGAAATAGAGTTGAAAAGGATTCAAGAGAAAATTAAAGATATGAAACATAAAAGATATCAAATAAATACATATCTGGGATCTCTGAAAAGAAGAGCCCAAGTCACGGAAGTTTTATTTTGAACATTAGGTGAAAAGACCAAGCCACCATGGAGAGGGAAAGAAATGAGGTGGGCCTCACACTTCTCCACACCGTCATTCAATGCTAGTTAACAGTGATGTGATGCCTACAAAGTCCAAAAGAATGTTGATCCAGTAATTTTATACCAGGCAACCTGTCACGTGGTTGTACAGAGGTACCATAATTTCTTTCACCAGTTCCTATTGGTAGTGGACACTACAATACAGCAGTGTCTTATCACTGCACATTTCTGATGAATTCTTACTGCAGCATTGTTTGTGAAAGCAAAGATGGAAAACAACCTAAGTGTCCCCTGCCAGTAGGAACTGGTTCAATAAATTATGGTATGTGTATACAATAGAACACTATTCAGTCATAGAAGAGAATGAGGCAGCTTGATATGTACTAATATGAAATGATACTCAAGGTAGAGTCTTAGTTTTTTTTTTAAATCATGGTACATAATAGTGTGTATGCTACATGTGTGTGTGTGTGTGTACATATATACATAGACCAGGGGTCAGCAAACTACAGCCCAGCCCACCACATGTATTTATAAATAAACAGCCATGCCCATTCACTTACATGTTGTCTATGGCTGCTTGCATGGTACAACAGCAGAAGTGAATAGTTGTGACAGTCAATACAACCTTCAAAGCCTAAAGCCTCTGCCCTTTTCAGAAAAAGTTTGCCAATCCCTGACATAGACTCTCCCTGGAAAAATGCACAAGGAATTGCTAATAGTGGTTACCTCTGCCAAGCAGATCTGAGGGGACAGGGGTGGGAGACTCACCTTTCTCTCTCTCTATACCCTTTGGTGCCCTCTGAATTTTTGCTGTGCCTATTATTACTGCGAGGAAAGGAGAGTGTGAAGGAAACCAAGAATTGCCAAGGTGACTGAAAACCAGTGTTGTCCATGCTGGCGTTATTTCACACTTCCTTTCTACTCTTCTTTAAAGGAAATGAGCAAAATCCAGACTATACTATTGGCATGAGCAGAGACATCTGTACCCAAGGCCAAGTGACAAAATGCAGAGGGAGAGAAAGCCATGCACTTGGTATTTGGAATAACAGGCATCTCACATTTGTCCCATCTTAAGCGAATGAATAGCAAGGAACTTCGATTCTATGACAAATAGCTTTCAAGCACAAACAATTTTAAAAGACCTATTTTAATAGATTCCAGTTTCAGAAAGATTTTTTGAAATAAAATTGTAGTTAAAAGGACACACTCGTCTTCCACCTTGGCTCAGTTCTAAAATGTTTGCAGGTTTTTAAACTGCCTCAATGCTCGGTTTTCAACTGTTTAAAAATGTACTCATTTAAAAAATTTATCAACTAGTGAGGGCTCACAAAGGAATCTAGGTCAGTTTGTATTTGAGGCAGGGATGTTTTTTGAAACCTCAATTAAAAAAAAAGAGATCAACCTATTTCCACCCTCCAGAAAAATGTACTAACACCAAACATCCTGCTTTCATTCATTAAATCCCATGTCAGCACATCATTTTCAGTGAGTCTGATATTTAACACTTAAATCACGCATTTGGAATTAGTAAGGCGATCCTTTGAAGGCCGAGAGTTTATGCTCTGATGCAAGTGAGCAAACCCCAGTTTCTCTGTCCTTTGAAAGTTTAATTTCTATGTGTAGCTATCTTTCCTGAAGTGTCTGCATGAGACAGTTCAACGGCTTCGAGTTACATCTCACTAAAATGACAACACAGCTGCTTCCTGAAGCTTTATGCAAGAACTTTACAGGAGTGGGAACGTGGGCCAGATGATCTGCGACATATCCTCAGTCAACATGCTTCAACATCTGGGTGCAGGCAAAGTGTTCTGCTGCACTGCTTTATGTTTAGCCAGGGCCACCCGAAAGCTAAAGAGGTAGAATCACAGACAGGGGTCCTCCTCCGTGCAAGCTCCTGGGGCTGCCACTAGCAAGTTAGGAAAAGCAAACCTTCCCCTGTTCCAGGGCGTGCGAAAACAGGCTAGGTTTCTGCCTTCTCTCCCTATCAGCAGAGCTGCTTGCTGCATGAACCACTGACACAACTGTACATAGCAGCCCTTCAAGTTCCTCAGTGTGAATGCCTAACTGTTTCCACATCCAGGCTTTCATCCCTGCCCTAGGATTTCTGCATGTATTTCAGTTACAAAAGGAAGACAGAATTATTTCAAATAGTCCTACAAGCAAGCCTGGGTCTCATTAAGATGCTAGTGCCATGAATCAGCCAGAGAGAGTGAAAGAGTGGTCTAAGAAATGTGTTTCCTCCCACACCTCCCAAAGGATGTCACACTGGAACTCACCGTGGTAATTCCAGCCACATGACCCAGGAAGGGGACCAGTCGCCAGGTGGGGCTGTGTTGTGGTTGGAGTAGTCCAGGGCTGCTGGGCTGCTGCAGTCTTCCTGGGCCTCACGTTCTTTGACTTCCAAAGCTTTAAGTACCACCGAGGAGGATGTGCTCTTCAATAATGCAACTGCCTCACTCCGGCTGACCTGTGTTAGCTCAATCCCATTCACATTCAACAAAATGTCACCTAACGGCCAGAGAAGCAGAAACCATCCTTTTAGTGAGAGTGCAAACAGGAACTTCTGCTAAAAGTGCAAAGGAACAGGCATTGACTGAGATGCAAAGATGTGGGGAAGTGGTGAGGGTGAGGGGCATGTCATCAGCCTCTTATGTTGACATGAGTCTGGGTTCTCATATAGCAAATGGGGAACAGTGTACAGATTCCAAGGAGCTGGTAAGTCATGTTTTGAGGTTTCTAAAGCATACCTATTGGTGTTTGGCTCTTGCCTTAAAAAAAAAAAAAAAGGAAAGAAGGCAGGTAAATTATCCACCTTTACTATTTACTCAAAGAAAACCTTCTTTTTCATACTTTTTTGTTTCTCATTTTCAGCACAAAGGGAGAGCACAAAAGCTCCCAGCACCTGCACAGAGCCTGGTATGTGGCAGGCACTCAGTAAATACGGATTGAATGAATGAATAAGAAACTACCCATGAGAGTGTCTAGGAGAAGAGTCTATAGCAGCTAAGAAAAATGGGCCTAGACCTGTATTTTTAAAGAGGCAGAAGGGTTAACATTTCTATTCATTGCAAAAGTGATAATAGCTACCACTGGTTAAGCACCTACTATGTGTGGGACATAGTTCACGGGTATTTGATTTACTAGCAAGCAAGGTGGCACACATCAACCACATGCACTAAGGTGAAACCCAGTCCAGCAACTATACTCAAACCAATCATGGTCAATGGGTAACAGACGTCCTAGCCAGATCACCCTTGCATTCTCTTGTTATTTCTGGAAACAGTTACCTAACCCAGCAAGCTGCTAATTCCTCTTAACACTCTGCCACCCCACTACCATAAGTCTCTTTACTTTTTACCTGTTTTTATTCTTCCATCTCTGCTTATGACTCCTCCGGGCTCAACACTGATGACATAGATGGGCAAATCCCACTCCCTATGTGATGCTCCCCCTGCAACGGTCATGCCGAGAGATTCGCTGGGGTCTTTTTGGACACTTACCACCTTCTCATGACAAGTGACCGCTGGATGGAGGAGCTGAAGGCACAGACAGAAAAATAGACATGGCACATTTGTTCACAAGTGAGTTTGCATTTCCTATATACAAAAACTACGAAAACTGCATAAATATGTGATGGTGGTCCTTGGTCTCCCAGAGAGAGAGACACACAGAGAATCCTCGCTTTGTCCCCCAACCATCAAGAGAGTTACCTTATCCTAAATTCTATAGGCTGACTCAGAGAAAGTTTACTTTTCAAATGGGACCAATAAAAATGAAGGAGGAACAGGTTAGAGACCACCGGAGAAATATTAAGCATACAAAGTGAACTTTACCCAAAGTTTTTCAAGTGACTCATTTATTCCTGATAGTAGTGAGTCAACATTTCATAAAATCCTTGTCATTCGTGAATATCATGAATTTCTTCTAAGTTAAAAAACAGTAACCATATTTTAATTAGTCTCAGTTTAATGTGTGCAGGTAATCAGTTATAGAAATCCTCAGAGAAAAATAATGGATTTCAGATATTAAATTCTAAAAATTCACCAATATCTAGGTTCCCGTATTAGTATCCTTACTTTAACTTTAGCAGTTCTGAATCATACGCAGTCAGTTATGCTCTTTAATCTTATTACATAAAAATATAGTATACACCTTGTATAGTATACACTGCGGACTGACTTTTGAAAAGCAAATTAATTAAGAGAATTGGTACTTTGATTCAACAACAGTAGACTAAACACATTCAAAGCTACGTGGAGCATTATCTTGAAGCAATAAGTAGGTCACGGGTACTGTTTATCAGTGAATATATATCAATATATATTTTTCTAAAAAATTATTCTCCTCTCAGTTTGTGTGGTGACCTAGGGGACTAGACAGTGGGCATGTGCACTGCAAATAAACATTTGTAACACTTGATTAAACCTCAAAGAAGTCTATGGCTCAAAACACAGCTTACAGTTGTATCTAAATAAAAAACACATCTCATAAAAATCAAAGTACACAACAAACTGTAAGCATACTAGTTTTGTTTAAACAAGGGGAGGGAAATGAGAATTTGCATTACTATTTACATTTTCATAAGCAAACTCTGAAAGAGAAAGTGGTTTCATGGGTGTGGACGTGGAACCCACAGATCAGAGAAGGGTGGAGACTTTTTAATATATACTTTTCATTTTTTGAACCCTGTCAATATATTATCTATTCAAGAAGTGAATCATAATTAAAGAAACTTCTGTAAATGTGATGGTTGACATCATGTAGAACTATTACCGGCATGTACAAGGTCAATTTTTAATGATTCGTTATGAGGCAAGGTAAGTGCAGGCTTTTGGTGCATTTATTATCTCATGATTTCCTATGGTTTTAAACTTCCCATGTCTGTTTTAATGGTCTTATTGTATATGGTAATGGCCTGTTACTGTATCCCCAGTGCTGAAAATAGCATGTAGCACACTCAAGATGGTAAGTCCATGTTTGTCGAATAAATGGATGGGTAAATTGCAAATTGCCACAAATTGTTTTTGGTAATAACAGAACAATAAATCAGAAACTACAGATAATTATGGCAAGGTACATGTTACAAGTAGTACTTGTAAGGTCTGGGTTAGGTTTAGCTAAATCCCAGAACTTTGAAGAGGCTTAAAGAGACTAGCTATCAGATGTAAAACAAAACTAGCTATCAGTTGTAAAACTGAAATGGGACTTCTTCATAGAAAATAAGACAAATAAGTAACAGTATGAACAGTATGACCACAGTATGAACACAGTGGTTCTAGCACTCCAGCTGAGGCCAAGGAGTAGACTTGCAGGGGCCCTCAAGATCCCTTCTCAGTACATGACTTTTCCCTGCTAAAAGGCAATTAGATGCAGGACATCTTTTCCTTTGATCACAAACATCTCTCAAAAGACCCCTGCTTGGAGATGCAGGCAGTTCTGAAATGCCCCCAACTCAGGGCAAAGTTCTAAACCCAGAGACTCCTAGTGGCTGCCTGTTGCTCCAGCTCATTCCTTGGGATATTGATAAAGCATTTACTCCTGATCCTCACAAAGAAGGGCTTAACTCCATTCTTTCCAGGTGGGGGCCAGGGGTAGTTGACCAATGTCTCAAGATGATGTCTAAAACAGTATGGAAGGCTCTGGAAAACAAGAACATCTATTTCATGTTAAAATATATATATTATCTATCATATATATATATACACACACATGCATACATATATATACATATATGCTCTATCTCTTCTTGAACAGCTGCCTAGTACTTCGTGGTGTAGATATGTCACATTCACCACGGATGACCATTTGGGTTGTTTACAGTCTTTCACAAAATTAAACAGTGATACTGTGAACATCCTTAGACATATATATCTTGTGCACTTCCATAAACATTTCTTTAGGCTAATGTCCTAGAAATACAATTACTAAATCAAACAGCCTGAGCATTTTTCAGTTAGATAGATGTTGATAAATTACCTTTGAAACAGCTCTATCATTTACAATCTCACCAATACTTTGTGAAAATGCTGATTTCTCACAATTCTGCCAATAATGGGTTTTATCACTATTTGCCCAGATGAAAAAGATTCCAGTTATTTAATTGCCTTTCTAGTAGTAAAATGACTATTATGGCTATTTGGGTTTCTCCTAGTAATAAGCATATGAGATTTTGTAATACTGTCATCACCCGAGTTCCCTCTGACTTCATCTATGAAATGGTAAGAATGCCCACGCACAGCAAACCTGTGGCTAAAAGAAATGATGGAAGATATGGCTTTTATCTGAGAACACTTTGGTTGAAAAAATGGGTTACTAAATTCACTTGTAAGTAGCAAAACTACATATCATATGAAATATTCCAAAAGTTACACTGACTTTTCTCCTACCACTCCCGTTAACAGGAATTAGTGAGGCTTTAATTTTATTTTTCTGTGAATAACTATTGCTTGAATAGTGTACAGATTAGCCAGATACTCTTTTAAGAAAAGTAAAGAATACTTATTTGTTGTTTACTTAAATGTGCCAGGCGAGGCAACCGGAGGCTCAATGTTTAAAAAAATCTGATCAATGAAACACAACTGGCAGGAAAAAAAATTGAGTACTGAAAGCTAGGATGTCTGACTCGAAATCCATACTCTCCCTACTATACCACTTTGCTTTTAGAAGTAATATTTAAACATCATATAAATTAATCAATTTTCAGGTAACTATCAGAAAAACACATGAAAGAATAATTACTCAATTTTTCCAGAAAGAGTTTCTCATTGACTAGAGAACTCAACTCAAATCCAATTCTGTCCAGTAAAATAGACGACTTAGGATTTGAATGCTGAAATCTATGTGTTCCCGGTGGCAAAAATGTGTCATTTATGCTTTTAGATACAAGTTCCTGGAAGGCAGTCTTCTTTCACACTTGTCCAGTGCTTCCCAAACAGGCTTGCTGCACTGAGCACCTACAGGCTCAACACAAATGACTGGACTACCCCGAATAAGAACGTGTCCATGTGTCTCGTGTCTCCAATAGCCATTTGCCTTCCTACCAGAGAGACCCACGTTAGGAATGGAAAAACCAAAGTCTCCCCACAAAACCTTCACACTCAGAGTTGCCTAACTTTCTCTGGGGAGAAGGAGAGTTAAACATGACAGATGTTCTTCTTCTCCATCTGTATTTTCTCTCCACTCTCCCTTCCCTACTGTGAAGACCTCAGGATGTTCCCTAATGTTTAAAAATATAATTTATTATGAAATAGTTCAGGCTGATTAAAAAGTATCATGGGTACCTGTGTACTTATCATTCAGCTATAAAAAATACATTATGGAATATTTGCTTTGGATTTTTAAAATAAAACATGTCAGACATATAAAAAAAAGTGTAAACATTAACATAACGACCTACCCTTGGACCTTGCGACCCCGTATCAGAAATACACGTTCCCCGTACAGCTGAAGTTCCCCTATGACTTCTCTCTGATCGCACTCCCTATCCTCTCCCACCGACGTAACCACGCTCCTAAATTTGATGGTTATTATTCTTTAACTTTTCAATTGGCTAAAAACTTTTCTGTCTCACAAATCTTGGTTTGCCTTCTTTGGTATTTATTTGAATTATTTAAGGTCCTACTTTCAAAAAGTCATGTTGTTTCCTAAATAAAACAAAACTTTAGTAAGATCATAAAAAACTGAGTCATCAAAGGGCCATATAGGTCTTAGTTTTATTTTAAATATGCCACTTTGTGTGTGTGTGTGTGAGAGAGAGAGAGAGAGTGGGGGGGGGGGGGGGGGAGGGAGGGAGGGAGAGAGCATTTCAGAAGGCAGACAGAACTATAAATTAAAATGAAAATAATTAAAATTTCCCACTAGGCCAGTTTGTTATGTATGTTTTCCAGGAATTGAACCCATGACAGAGGGTTGTGGCAAAAATTTGATCAGATCATCTGGCTCTTTCCATGATTCATGATGGTTAGGTGGAAGGGATTATAAAGCCACAGTGCTGGTGGAAGCCTCAATCTTAGTGGTTTAATGAACTAAAATATTATACAGCTTAGTTAATTCAACTATAATTAGTTAATTAAGCTAATGAACTAGTTTTCCATTAATAAGTACCATTAGTTTAATTTAAACATGCTAATGGGATTTACTAGCAAAAAGACACCAGAGAGTCCTTATCCATAAAATGTTTTAACAGGAGGTACTTGGTCTGTCCAGATTGCTTATTGTGAAAAAACCTGGAATTCACAGATTTATGGGTCATGGCTGGCTGGAGAGAGAGAGGTTGTAGCCTTATAGGCTGTGTAATTAATGGTGTATAAAGCAGATATGTTCCCAAAATCAAAATTTTGAGTATCGTTTCTGCATACATTGCTCAAAAACTCAACTCAGGAGTTATTCCAAACCAAAATGTAGCCTGATGTGGAATATAGGCATTCCTTAATCTCTGTTGCACGAAGAATGGGCTCCTTATAAGATTTCTTTAGTTACAAGTGGCATAATGAAACAAGATGCCAGGAGAAATGTCTGCTAGAAGCTTGTTGCCATCACAATAGGATGCCAAGCCAAGGCTACAGGACTCTGAATTTGGACTAAGTAAGGTTTACGTTGCTTAGACACCCATCCAAATGGAGAGGTTATGGCATTGCCTCTAACAGAAGCCACAGACAGAAGTACCAATTGGGCTAAATCACCTTATTCAAAGAGGCTGCAAATTGCTGGCCTGAAGAATGTATTCTGCCTACAGATGCATTTTGCTTCACCAGCAGTATCTTAAAATGTTTCTGGATTTGAATGCCATAGGATAGGACATGTGCACCCTGGTTTGCCCCAATCCCCACCACTCCCTAAGGTATATGAGCTTCAGATATTCAAATTATCTTCCTGGGCCCTTCTGCAAAAAACAAACATACTAAAATTAGCAGAGAAATTATTATTTTAATTTTCAGGCAGACTTGGAACTTCAAAAACCAGAAACCAAGCAAACCTCTTGTTTCATTTCAAAGTGAATGGAAAACAGTCCTTAAACAAAATGACTGTTGGGAAAACATGACATCTATTTGGCTTAGACTAGAAATTAGGTCCCCATATGAGGTCTGCAAGATCGGGTTTCAGAATTCTCTTGCACCTTCCTCTCTCCTGCTTGGATGGGAGACACCTGTTATCTCACCAAGTCTCGAAGATGGGACTTCGGGCTTTTGGTTTTACAAGACAAGTCAAATAGTGTTTCTTTAAGTGATGAAGTCCAGAGATCACACTTAGAAATGTTCAAGTGTGCAGCCTTCCCAAAATATAGCTCCTTTCAGGAGCAGCGGACATACCCTGGCTGGGCCTCACCTTGGGAGTGTTGCTCCTGTCCCCTGGCCCTGGGGACTGGCTGCCGTTGCTGTTCCAGCTACCTTCCTGAAAGATGTCAGGACTCTGCTGACGAAACTGGCGGGACACGACGAGGTGGACACGCCTTTCACTGGCCTGGGTGATAAGAGACAGGTGTTAGCCACTCTCAGAGCTTCCATCCAAACCATCCAGCACCAGGGGCTTACCAAGATGAGAGTCTGGTTTTATCTTTTTTATGGAAAAAAATGCTTTCTAGTATTTTTCATGGCAGTGCCCATTTTGTAATTTGGCATGAACATGAGAGTTATTTCCTTTATCCTTAAACCAGGTAATACACATTGCTTCAAAGAAAAAAAATAGGGAAGGTTTGACTCATTCAACAGTCTTTGAAAAGACATTGTCAGACACTGCTAGTTTATTTTTAATGAGTGACTCCATTACACAAGCTGCGTCTGAAGGACTTTCCAGATAGAACAGGGTGTACAGTGTAAAGTAGCAGCCCAGTCCAAACTCCAAACCAAAGGTCTAAGACCAAAGGTAAACAGCGAAGAGCAAGAAATAGAGCTATTGGCAGCAACACTACCACTGTAGGAGGAGAAATCCCGCGTCTGACAGTCTCAAACACTTGGGCATGGGAAAGGACGAGCACTTTAGAAATACAGGGATGACCTAATAGGTTTGAACACAGCCTGATTGCAGGCCTTTGCCATGATCCTTTATTTTTTTATGCAACGACCACTAATTCTGACTACTAGTCCTCTCTGCTACGTACGTTAATACTAGGACAGAGCGTTCCAAAAAGCAAACTTATTGCTTACTGGGCACGTTCCATTCCACACCATAAATTTACAAATTGGCTTTCTGCCACAGATGAGTTTCATGTGTGTCTGACAGTATGGGTCATTATTCCAGAACCATTGACTACTGAGATCCTACATCTGCAGGCCAGATAGACTGGACCTTGGAACTGTGAAACATACGTAAACAAGGCTCCCTAATGGTCCAGGCTCAAGTAGCCAGCTGACCTCACCCATCACTTTAATTAAAAGCTGATAGTGATGAGAACTCTTAGGATGTACTCTCTTAACAACTTTCTTATATATCATACAGCAGTGTTAGCTATAGTCATCATGTTGTACATTACAGCCCTAGTACTTATTTATAACTGAAGGTTGTACCTTTTGTCCTACGAGTTCTTATCACAAGAAGTTTTTTTCTTTTTATTGTATGTATATGAGATGATGGATGTTAACTAAACCTATTATGGTTTATGGTATCATTTCACAATATATGTAAATCAAACCATCATGCTGTATACCTTAAACTTATACAGAGAGGTATGTTAATTATTTCTCAAAATGGGAAAAAATATCCCCCCAAAACAAACAAAAAAAACCTGATAGTGGCTGAGGCATGGCTAAATTTGAATAGAAACCAGGAAAAGACTAAGTGTGGGGCCAAGGAAAGTGGAGGAGAGAGGAGTAAGTGCTAGGGGTTCGTCTTCTCATCCCATCCGCTGACCACTCACCCCCACAGCACAGATGGACATTGGCCTGCCTGCGTTCTTCCCTCACAGGCATGGCTATCAGACCGTGGAAAAGCAAGGCCATGAATAGAGCACGATCTTCTCCACGAGCTCAGACAATGGAATTGAGATATTTGCTTCCTGCTTCTCTGCATCTTGCTTCTCAGAGCACGTAACTCACTCCCACTCTCAGGAACTAGGACCTTAAGCAATAAGAACCCCACCAATGAAATCAGATCCTCACAGTTATCCAACACTGACCAGCCCAAACCTTCATGACTTTGCATTCTTATATTAACAAACATCTCTTCTCAGAGGTCTCTTGAAACTTAGGAGTCATCAACTGAGTGGCTGTAAATTAGATAAACTTTTTAAAATAACTGCTAAAGTGCAATGTCTATTGTAAACATCACAGTGGATGGTGGGCCAGTCGAGTTGATTCATTTCACATAAATATAAGAAATCCTGACAAACAGGACCCAAAAAGAAAGTTTAAGTCCTTCACTCACTTTCCTTCACATAATGCCCAGTCATCACTTCTGCTGGTCCCCCAGTCATCGCTGAAATGCCCTTCCTGTCTTCCTTTGCCTATCTTGAATTCCCTGGTGTTTCTCATCACATATAAAGCCTGTGTCAGAACAGGACCAAAAAAAAACAAGCCCAGGAAACAATTACAAAGCAAGCTGACATGAAGATCTATGGTATCAGCCAACTAAATTCAATTCTTGGAAGAGCATCTTGTAATAACTGAGTCTTTCTTTATACTGTAAGCCTTACTCATCCCAATGAGGTTATCTCTGGGAACTTTCTGAAGCAAAAAAATTACAGAAAGATAACAAGTGGCAAACATTCAAGTCAAAACTTCAACGGCTGAGCCCAAATTCGCTCCTTATCTTCAGGGAAACTCTGATGTTTTGAAGGATCTCAGGAGCGGGTTTGTCTCTAGGCCTGCACGTTGCATCATGTTCGTTTTGGAGGAGCAGCAGCCGCATGACCTAAGCACCTCATAAGAATTGAGAAAATTCAAGCCGTGCATGTTGAATCAACTGGCCAGGCAAAATCCAAAATGCCAAGGAGCAGCCTGCAAGAACTATTTAATTCACATTTTCAAGCACTGGGTTTTCTCACTGGATTTTCAAATACCGACTTTGGTATTAACTTGTTGGCAAGAATAACACTCCAATAAATAACCCCGGTATCAATTTACTTGGAAATAAATTCCCTGCAAGGCTGGATGCATGGGTCTTACCAGCCACCTTATAAATTGCTCTCAGGGAGATTTTATTTGATGTACTTTCTTTCCTAGAGTTTGAAGTTGAACGTGGAAAACGGGCTAATGTGTTTGTCCTGGCTCTAACTCTCAGGAGCAGCTGGATTCAGTGTCGAGAAACAGCCCTTAGCACCAGATAGTCTTTCTTTCCACTGCTGTAAATATGGGATGAATGTGGAGTGAGTGTGAGAAGGGGAGTGAGGGGGAGACACAGCAAGACCGAATGAAGGCGAGAATGGCAGAAACTTGTTTATTTCATACCCACAGAGTATGTGCCAGGAAAATGGATACAGCAGACCTGTTATGTAAACAGCTAATGCTCAAAGGAAGAGCATGCTACATGACAGAGGTAGGATAGCCTTTCTCTTGGATCTCCTGGGATGTTACAACTTGGGTGAAAGGGCTATTTCACAATTATGGCTATCTCGAGTAGTAGACAAGGCTAGAAGTAGATTCTTTTTACTTGACGTTTCTTCTCCTCTCTCCCTTAAACATCCTAAATTTTGATCCAGACAAATTCTGGGCATAGTGGTTACAAGTTGATAGCTTGAGTGTTGTACCATATTCTCCTTTCTCTTCCAAGAACCCAATCATTAAACTCCCTCTTCTTTCTATGGGTTAAGGGGAAGGGATTCTCATGGCCTCTACATTCTCCCCTGGGGAACTTAGCTTGTTGGCAGCCATTCTGTCTCCATGGCTGAATGTATCTGCTCTGGGCCAGGCACTTCACAAGAGTCTTGGGCCACATGGCCTCTGCCCTCATGGAGCTTGTCCTACCTTAGGGATAGTCAGAAGCACACACAAGAAAGAGGTATGGGTGACACACATAAAAGTCTCCAGAGGTGGGAGAAATTACTTCTAGCTGAAGACACAGGAAAAATCTAATATTCAGGGAAAACCACAGGGTTAAAATTAAGCAGCATTTCTCATGGAGAGGCTTGTTATTTTGTTTAATGACTATTTTTCTCTGCTCTTTTGAGATTTGACTTAAAATTGCCAATAATATTTATATGAGGGGACTAAGCAGATGCCACAGAAGAGAGCCCTAGTCTGCCAGCCTTATTTATACTTAGTCCACTTAAAAATAATAAAATCCCATCTCTTATAGTTGGGAGGAGGAGTCTAGAAGCACTACACTGTGACACCCCACAGGGCAAGCATCTTCTTCCATTATGTTCAGCCTAGAAATGGCTTTTCTCCCTACAAAATCCACTATGGCTGATAAGAACTGCTCACATTGTCAGGATGCAGCATAGACCAGAGACTTCAGAGCAGACAGATGGAAATCAAAGATGCCACTGTATAAGAAGCCAGGAGAGGCATTTTGCAGGGCTGTACATTAGAGCAGAGATGGTCTTTCTACTGTCCTAGCACTACATGGGTCTATGCGGTGGCTAAGAGGGCCAGTGATGACTAGGGCAGAGCAAGAGTTGATAGAGTACCTGCACATCAAGGTGTGAACTACCCACCTGGCCAAAGTTTCCACCTATTCATTTGTAAACGAGGATTGGAGTTAAACCAAATGCACTGTAGCATTTGGTGCTTTTAAAATATATATATGCATATGCTTAAATAAAATGTTCAATAAAGTGTATGTGATTCACGTGGGTTCGGTCATTGTGTTTCTTGTATTTGCTTTATAAAATTTCAAGTTAAGAGTCCCACACTCATGCCCCCCCAATTCCCCACAGTATTGTTCTATACAAACACCTAAAACAGGATTCCAAACTGATTGTTGGGTAGCAACTGTATTGCTCAGAGCAGGTAGACCATATACACAGTACCCTTTATGACATAGAATAGGCCCACAAGAGGCCCCTGCTTGACTAGGTGGCCCTCTTGTTACAGAGACAAGTAAGAGCTGCAGTTGAATTTCTAATATAAAGCTGTTTACAGAGCTTGTCTCTACTAAGCGTTCCATCCACTAACATCAGAGGTTTTAATGACCATTTCTTTAAAAAAAAATTCATCCTGCATCTGCGTTTAACTTTGGTTTCTTTTCCAAGGTTCTTGGAATGAGACAGTCTAGCTTTAACTGATTTTCAATAGATACCGGTGGGGATGGTTCTTTCTATGCTGTTTGGGGTTGCCCCATTTTAGCTTCCCTTCCTGCAACTGCTCAAGGATCATTCTCAGTTCATCCATCTTGTGCTTACAAAGCCCTGGGGAATTGTAGAGCACTGCTTCCATAAAGTTAGAAATTCACAGATATGGAAGAGATGTCAGATATCATCTGATCCAACATTTTCTCTGAAGCCTTTGTTTCAATTCCCCTACAAAATCCTAACCATGTTGTCACCCAGCTCATGCTTCAATGCCTCCAATGACAGTGAACTCACT